CGCCGCCGCCGCCGCCCGCTGCCGGGCAGCCCCCCGAGGACTCGAAGCCCCCTAAGGACTTGTCCGACTCCAGCTGGATCGAGACTCCCTCGTCCATCAAGTCCATCGACTCGACCGACTCTGGGATTTACGAGCAGGCCAAGCGCCGGCGGCTCTCTCCGGTGGGCACCCCGGCCTCCGAGAGCTCGTCGCCCCTCAAGAGCGAGCCCACCTTGGCCGCCAGGGACTGCGACAAGACCTGCGCCAAGGACATCGGCTACTACGGCTTCTACTCGCACAGCTAGAGAGATGCCTTTGGCCACGCCCCCCGCCCTTCTCGCCTGTCCCTTCCGAACCAGCCCTCGCTTTGCGCTGCGCACCGGGGCGCGCGCTGGTTCTCCCGCTTACTTGAAAGCGGCTCTAGCTGGCCACGCACGTAGTACCGCGCACGCGCAGTCTCTCCCCCGTCCTCGCACACGCAGAAAGCCCGCAAACCGTGGGGCCGTTCCAACATCACTTCAGTGGGAGGTGGATGACAACGAAATGATGAAAATCATGTCACTTCATTCTCCACCTTGTATGTCTCTTTCCTTAGCGATCCCCTCCCCGCACAAGGCGAAACATGTCATGATTTTTTCCCTTAGCCCAAGCAGCTGGACGTCTTTTTTTTTTTTTTAAACCCAGATCTCAAACTCGGGTGTTTCGAATAGGTTGATTATTCCAAATTCCTAACAAAGTCCTTAAATTATCCCTTGATCCGCTGTGCCCATCCCATGTGGCTTGGTATTCGGTGTGGTAAAGGGTCCTACTCCTAAACGTCTCCTGGCGAGCAACACGCGCATTCTAATCTTTTTAAAGCTATCCTAAAATTAATCTGATACACATGAGAGTAAATTCCATTCCATCCAGCGAGGGTAGTTTTCTAAGTAAACCACCCTGCAGCAAAATCTTATGCACGTATTTATTTAGAATTCAGCCCCATGACATTTAATAGCTCCAACCACCAGGTAAGAGCGAAGACTCGCAGCTTTCCTTAGTATCTCGCACTCTCTCTGATCAGGAAAGTGGACAGCAGAGGCTTGTTATTCTGCGGTACTGAAAAAGTGGGCAGATAAGAGGATATTATGCGTGCCTTTAAAGGGTTTCTCAGTAAATTTGTTTGGGATTCTCCTAGATCCCGCTCCCCCACATCTTCAGTTCTGTGTCCATTTGGAATACAGTCGTTCCCATCCTTGGATTTAATGGGTCGTAATTCCGAGTAAACTTGGTTTAAGGTTCAACAGGCAAACTAACCGTTTCTCTGCCCTTGCACCATGTGCTTGAAAGTCAAAGGAAAATTCCTCCTTTCCCTTGTGCCTTCCTTGTTCCGGGCTAACCACAGTGGAAAGATGTGTGTGTGTCTGTGTGTGTGTGTGTCAGGGATGGGGGGGTTGGATGCTCTAAGCAAAGTCTAAAACATCTAAAGCTCCTTTCCCCTCTTTCATGTTATCTAAATCTGTATCCACACACTTGCACTTTAATATTAGGACAAAGTCTGTGTTGTGGTTAAGATGTGTGTCTATTAGTATTTTTATACCACTGTCCAAAGTGACTTAAAAAAATTAAAATTACAACGATAATTTCAACGAAGTTAGGCCTAATAACAAAAAAGCAATGTTGTACAAATCGTTCCAAATATCTAACAGTTAATATCTAAATAATTACACCTCTGTAGGACTTAATTCTACTTAAATGCGTGCAAGAACTTATTGTGCCTCTCACTGAAATCACTTGGGTTGGCTATGGATTTCTGATACAATCACCACTAAATTTCAAGCGTGGATCCCGTTGGATAGGATTTCTGGGGATTTCAGAAGGCAATATTCGGCTCTTGGTGTTGGAATGAGAATTTAAAAGACATCGTGTTGTCCTACGTTTTTAGTGAAGTTACCATTCAAGTAAAAAGCGCTAATCGCTTCAGTGTCTTGGTTGGGAAGATATGAGAAACTCGACCTTGTCTAAAGTATTTTGAGGAAGATAACGCAGTAGCTTTGTTCACACATCTCACTAAAGCCACAATGGTGGATGCTTATTGTATACATCCAGCCAATTGTGGTTTATTCAGCAAACCATGATTAAAACAAACTATGGCTTTGTATCACATGTAGACCAGGTGCTTCAGTTTGGGCATGACCCAATCAAGTTTAAAACTCAGCCTTAAACCTGTTTACTCGGATTAACATCAAGAGGAACCCACAGGAGTGTACCGAAATGTTAATTTCTGTTATACTGTATAGGCACTTATTCAGAAGCAAACTCCGTTGAATTTATCCCGAATAACAACATCTCGCAAATAACTGGAACAGAGATCTTAAGCCGTTTCCTCGCTATTGTTTGGCCGTGTCACCTCGCCATGGTTGGGGCGATCTGAAGCCTGTCTTTCTTCCTTCCTGGCAAATGAACAGAGCAGAGCGATGCGATGCGATGACACCAGAAATCGCCAGCCAGGAAACGGCTTGAGCGGCTGTTTCTTCGTAGCTGGCTCCTAGTCGCGTTTCCTTGGAAGGAAGTCTCATCCGAGTTGGTGCGGTTGTAGCGTCGTTCCCTTCGCAAAGCGCCGCGTAATGGCGGAAATTACTCCTACTTCTCTCAGTAGGACTTCGCTTCCCGCAATGAGTATAATGCTTCAGTTCCTTTTTCTGGACGTTAAATTCCCTGCTTGATCAGAACTTCTTCTCAATGGAAGTAAACCCGTTTAATAGCGCAGCGTTTATAAATAGACGAGTCCCCGCTGGGTTCAGTAGGATTCGAGTGGACTTTTCCCTTAATTTACTCATGCTAACAAGTGTAGTAGTAGGAGTACTAGGAGTAAGCAGGTGGCCTCTCCAAGTACCTCTGCCTGGGAGTAAACTTTACTGAAATGGGTGGGGACGGTAACTTGAGAGAGAGATGGGGAGGAATGTAAATGAAGCACTTTTAAAATCCAATGGGTTCCACCTGGGCTAAACACTCTGCCTTGGTTCAGATGACAACTACATTAAGCTGTCATTTGGTTTCAATCACAATTTACCTAAGAAAATACTGTTGCATTCATTCAATACACTAAGCTACAAGCAAGCCAGCGACATGATGGCTTAGCGTGTTGTATGAACCCACCAGCAGAGCCCTAGCTGGCTTTGTTAGATTACCATCCTAGGAATTACTCCAGTAGGAATTACTCCAACTGATCAAAAAGGCACTTCCTTCCAAGTAAACCTGCCTATTTTGCATTGCTGGTAGACTTAAATTAAAACTAATACAGTAGTTTAGTTCACAGAACTGGGGAGCTATGCCTCAAACAAACTCCATTATGATCACTCCAGATGTGATGGGGTCTGGCAGAGTAGATCAAGTGGATCTTCCCCTACTCTATTTCAATTAGATTGTAGCTTGTGGTCAATCAGGTGTGCAAGTGGGTGTACAGGAAGGGGATTTGCCCAACAAGGCCACTGACTGTCTTGTCAATAAAGCAGCACAATTTAACCCCAATTCAACACCCTATTAGAGACAGGTGGCCAGAGAGAGTGAACCAGCTCCTTGAAAACTCACTTCAGTTCCAACATATATTTCACATTACCTGTCTAATGATCTTTTCTCCTTATGTCCTTTTCTGCCCCGCTCACCGATTCCTAAGCCCATCCCTGGTTGGCGTGCAGGTGCTCTTCTCTTGTTTCAATAGTTTCCTTGCCCCTCCCCACTTCAGTTAAATGATGACTGTAAATCTTTGTAATGAGCAAACTACAACCAGTACTAAGCTATTGACCTGTTGGTGCCCGTAGTGTAGTCCAGTGAAAATGAGTTTGTGAGTTGTATATTTAAAAGAGAAAAAAGAAAAAAAAAGATTGCATTTAGTTTGACATTTTTGTTTTGTTATGTGGATAAGAAAGTATCCCTGAAGGAACCTTCTTGGGGAATAGACTAGGCAGCACCAGTTTGAAGTGATTTAATTTCCCCCCTCTCCGACCTCTTATTTTTCTCTTAATTTTCCTGTTCAGTCAAGAGTTTTACACTCAGTTTAGTCTTTCCTCTTGTTGATGTAGAGTAGTGAGTCTTCAAAATTTTGTGTAGGAAATATATAACTGATCAACCCATGTTTTAATATTGTGGGTGGGTGGGGGTGAGGAATGAACTGTGAAATAGGCAGCAGGCAAAATGATTAAGATCAACACAGAAACCTTCCCAAATAGAAATTCAGGACTTTCATCCTGTATATATTTTTTGGTCCTTCTGTAAATGATGGACATGATTTTTCTGTTTCTTTTTTTCTTTTTTAAAGAAACCTCCCTACACTTTTGTTATGTTTGTGTAGATAAATAATTGTTTCTTCAGATTACAAACACCCAGAAAAAATGTTTCGGCTTTTCACCCATTTATACTGTCTGTGTACAAAAAACATAATAAAACCTGGTAAAAATGTTTAGACAGTCTTTATGTGTAGATCCTTTTAGAAGATTTGAGTAAGCTAAGAGTAGTGTAAGGCCTGGGAGTACCTGGGAATTTTTACAAATGGAATAGAAACAATTTCCTCTATCTGACACCAGCTACTTAATCTTCAACACAGAAATAATGGCTTTCTGTTTTTCTTACCTTTACACTGCAGCTTGGGCAAATACAATCATATTCTATCCCGCTATGCAAATGTTTCCCCTGAGCTAGAAAAAGGGTGAGAGTTTGATTGGCGCCTGGATGTAAGTTACTTTTGGGCAAATTTATGATTGCAATACATCTAAAGAATTTTTGGAAATGGGGAAAATATAAACATTTGCAGTTCAGAATCACTAAACTGAGGGTACGATAGAATGTGCAGATTAAGGATTCTATAAAAACTGTGGGTAGTTAACAGTAGATCCCATGAAATAATTATTTCCCTTTCTATCTTACTGCATGTGAACAGTTGAAGAAATCCCCAATTTCCCAGGATTAGGACATCTGAGGTTCCCTGTAGTATCTTATTTCTTATAAAAAATTTAAAGATTAAGGAATTAAATTTGAGGCTGGTGTGCGCGCGCTATTGAGTGATTCTGCAACCTGCCACTAGAGGTCTCTTGATGGACTATTATTTCTCCTTGTCACGAACTGCTTTATATTATTCCACCCCCTTTGCCTTCCTACCACGAAGGGAAATTTATCTTTAAACTGTGAAACTGAAGTTTTTCTTTTCTTTTTTTAAATGTGTGATAATATTTGTTAGTGACCAATTATTCTAAAACAATTAGGTTATTTTAGAAAAGTCTTTTACATACCCTAGAAATTACAGCCTTGTTAGAAAACGGTGGATTTAACAGGG